AGCCACGGGCAGTGATGGGATTCCCGGTTTCCTGCTCAAGCAACATGCCTCTGTTCTTGCACCGAATCTCACCAGCATTATCAATTTGTCTCTTAGAACTGGACAGGTTCCACCAACTTTCAAAGTGTCACATGTCAGTCCCTTATTTAAGAGTGGCGACCCAACCCTGCCCCAGAACTATCGTCCAGTGTCTCTCCTCCCCATTATCTCCCGTATTCTGGAGACAATGGTTAACCCTATAACGCCTATAGGACGGATATATCCGCCAGACTGTACAGTGCATGCTGAGGTGACTTCAAACTTTCGTCATTCAGTCAATCCTTGTTCGAATTCAACAAACGAAAGGTCTAATCGTATCAGAAAAGCCTCAGCTGTCGGCTCAAAAAAACCCGAAGTCGATCCGAGGTCATAGCGCAGAGTTACGACACTCGAACGAAATTCGCGTGGGCAAGTCGGCTCGCGCGGCGTAAAATTTGAAACGCCAGCAAGGGATTTTCCCTGACTCGCTGGCGACGCGTGCACGACTGGCATACGTCATTTTCAAGCTGCATTTTGAAGGTCTCTCCTGCAAAAAAATTGACCGTTCTGCGATCGATATTGTTGAAATGGCGGAGAATTTAGTACCGCGCTCGCAGGTCTGGCATTGGAGCGCTCGGATCGCGCTGCGGCGTTACTCCTACGACTCTATCAATTGCGAACTGGGTATGGCTGTGTTCGTCTTGGAGAGAGCTTTCCATAGAGCCCGAGATTGTTGGAATACTCCAAAGGATATCGAAATTACAGTCAGAAGAAAATGTGAGTTTGTGAATTTCATGCGTCTCCTGAAATAATTTAGGCTCTAAAGGGTTAAGAGACAGCTCGCTGCCTATCTGGAGACACACCAGCTATTGCCCGACAGCCAGTTTGCTTATCGCAAGCAACGTTCGACTGAGGATGCACTGGTGTTAGCTGTTAATCGATGGTCCACTGCTAGATGCAAACGAGAGTTCACTGGGACAGTGTTCGTTGATATGTCGAAAGCTTTCGACCGTGTTAAGCATGAACGTCTAGTTACAGTTTTGTTTTCCCTTGGTATAGCTGGAACTGCATTAGAATGGTTCACTGACTATCTCTCCGGGCGTTTCCAGAGTGTCAAAGTTCTTGACTCTGTTAGTGAAGCCGTCAGTTGCTCCCGTGGTGTTCCACAAGGTAGCGTCCTTGGGCCACTGCTTTTTGTGCTCTACACCAGTGAACTCCACACCATACTGCTACCGTCTGTACAGCACCAAGAATTTGCAGATGACATTGTCATCGACTGCTCCCATTCTGATCCTGCTGTAGTGTGCAGAACCCTCACGCAAGCCATGACAAACCTTGCTACCTGGCTGGAGGACATTGGCCTGCTCCTCAATACTTCCAAGACACAATTGGTCTTCATCCGGCCACGAGGCGCGGCTGCAATACAACCGGAGGTCTTCTGCAATGGCGAGAAACTTTGTGTGACCCCTACAGCCCAGTACCTCGGTTTAGTCCTGGATAATGATTTATCCTGGGCTCCACATGTGGAGTGTATTGGTCGCAAGACAGCGTGAACAATTGGTCAGCTCTGGAGGCATGGGCGAGGACTGAGTTTGCTTGCCCGGCGAACGTGGTTCTTGAGCATGATCCTTTCCCAGCTGTGTTATGGTTCAAACAGTTTCTTTCCAGGACTTAGCGCACACCTGCTTGGTCAGCTTGAAAAGATGTTCAAGGCTGGCATCCGTGCAATCTTGCAACAGCGGCTCTTGACTCCAACTGCCCCGCTGCTCTCTCTGCTCAGCATTGTTAGTCTACCACATACATATACACACAAAATTGTCGTATTTGTTCATCGATGCATGAACTCCTCCTGTAGCCCCCTTCTTCAACAATTATTCACCCGAACGGCACCAGAGACTGTTCCGGAGGATCAGCGCACCACACGGGGACAAGTGTCGAACTTGCTTCAAGTTCCATTTCTTCGTGGGCCTGCAGGACGATCGACCATGTTTCGGGGAAGCATTCTCTGGAACGCTCTCCCCTCTGATTTTAGAGTGATAGGTGTCCCTGGTCCCTTCCGAAAAGCTCTTTCTGCCATTGATATACTTACCTTGTGAATATCCTCGTTATACCTTTATTATCTGCCATAAACTCCAACCTTCTCGTCTATCAATCATTTGTGCATGCATGTCTATAAAATCAACCACGTATTCCTGACTCCATGAAATTGTCTTTCTATTCTTTGACTCCATGAAATTATTGCCTTTCTATTTCTGACTCCATGAAATTGTCTTCATAAATTTTTTTCCTTTTTCTTCTTTTGGTCCTTTCTGTCTTATATTATTATCATTTCTTGTTTTCCCTTGCATATTATTCCTTCATCATTCTGTGAGAACCTGTCCTATGGGCAGGTGAGAAGGCATTTATGCCTGTTCATTTGGTGAAGTAAAATAAACAACAACAACAACAACAACAACAACATACAAGGCGACCCAACTAGACTCAGATTGGAAACTGTACACAGCCCAGCGTAACCGAGTAACCGCTCTTTTGCGACAGGCTAAGTCCGATTTTGTCCAGCAAACAACGTCAACGGGTACAAACCTCCACCGTCTACTGAAGCACCTGAAGAAACCGCCTAAGCAAACAATTCCCACACTATCGACAGCCAACTCCACTGCAGCCACGGCTATGGAGAAGGCAACAGCTCTCAACAAGTTCTTTATCTCCCAAAGCCAACAGTCCATCGACAAGACCACCTGTACTACACCAGACATCAACACTACCCCTGACATCAGTCATCCTCTAAATACAATCGCAGCAACAGTGGAAGAGGTCGAGAAGCTTCTAAGCAGTCTAGACACTGGCAAGAGCCCAGGCTTTGACAACATCCCAACTCGGCTCCTGAAAGAAACTGCAAAGGAAATCTCCCCATCTCTCACTAGTCTCTACAATCTGTCCTTCAGAACCGGAGAAATACCACAGGATTGGAAAGACGCAACTATTACACCCATCCCCAAGTCGGGCAACCCCTCCCATCCTACCAACTACCGACCCATCTCCCTGCTCAGTATAATATCAAAAACACAAGAAAAAATAGTCCACTCTCGTCTGTACAATCACATAGCACCGCACTTACCCTCCAACCAATCCGGCTTCAGGAAACAAGACGGGACCGAACTGCAACTCGCACGGATCGTCCACCAGATATCCACAGCTAGGGATGCGGGGAAGCATGTTGTAACGTGTTTCTTCGATCTCAGTAAAGCCTTTGATCGTGTATGGCATCAAGGCTTGCTGAAAAAGCTGAGCCACTACGGTGTTGACGGCAAGGCTCACAATTGGCTCGAAGCCTACTTGACAGGACGCAGACAGCGGGTGCAGGTTGAAGGCACAACATCCGCCTTCATACCAATACCAGCGGGAGTGCCCCAGGGCTCGGTCCTGGGACCACTTCTGTTCCTGACGTACACCATTGACCTGCCCACTGCCTGTGAAAATGCTACAACCTCGTGTAGCCAGTTCGCGGACGACACCGCACTGATTGCCATTGCAGGCAGCTACATTGAGTGTGAGGCTGCGCTACAAAGAAGCGTCGATGCCGCAGCAAAATGGCTAGAGCGCTGGCACCTGCTAGTCAATAAAACGAAAACCGTCATCCTCCCGTTCTACCATGCTAACCGACCCCCACCACGACTACCCGAAATAAAACTTGGCCAAACCCTACTAGAAACAGTAACACAACATCGTCACCTCGGCATCATCTTTCAGCACGACCTAAGATGGTCAGCCCACCTTGACTTTGTGCTAAAGAAAGCTGTACAATCTTTTAATATTCTCTTTAGGCTCAAATCAACTCTACACACTAAATCACTCTCTCTCATTTACAAAACGTATATCCTGCCCATAATTGAATATGCATGCATTGCTGTCACCCCACTCTCAATCGCAGCCCTTGACCGTCTTGAGCGAATCCAGCGCAAGGCGGCCAGAATCTGCCTCCGCCTCCCCCTCTACACTCCTCTGGATCATTCAACACTGCTCCATCGGCTCAAATGGCCGACAATGTTCTCTCGCCGCAAAGTGAAGCTCACCCTTCTTGCCCACTCCATAAAATACCAATATGCCCCACAACACATACGCTTGCTCAACACCCCCGCTCAAGTTACGGCCCAGTACAGCCTTCGACACGCACGCACTTGGCACCTCCCACCCTCCAGAACCGATCGCTGTAAAGACTCCCCACTGTACAAGTCCCTAGAATACTACAATGCCCTCCCTGCTAGCATTCGTGACGTCTCCTCCCGACCTGCTTTCAAACAAGAAATCTGCTCACTGCTGATTAACTCAATCTGCTCCTGCAGCGCTCACCCTCTCCCATACTTGTAAAGTTCAAAGTGATGTAAATCACTTTCCAACTGTTTAACCCACAATCTCACCTTCTCATAAATTTATCTCTTATTGGCGATGGTGCCATCGTGAGAATAAAGAATTCAAACAAACATCAAGACCATATTCTCCGGGAGTTCAGCAAAACGTGTCAAGGCGACCGCTCGGATAAGGCGGCCACCTGTCCCAGACGACCACTGCTGCCAGGACCAGGGGATGCTGTTTCCAGTCAAATGACACTGGATAAGGAGACCACCTGGTAACAGAGACCGCATTCTGATGGTCCCTTGAGCGGTTGTCTTGCACAGGTTTCACTGTGTATGCTGCACTCTTTAACACTCGTAATTCAAATTTTAAAAAAAGGCAGTGCAGCTTAAACTACGATGGTCAAATTATTGAAATTAATGATGTCTGGCCAGTTTTGCTCACGGCGATGCCTCGTATATGGCACAGCGGGCGATTTACAATTTATTCGGGGAAAGAAAATTGAAAATCCCCATGTCACAAATCATCTGACAGTTGCGATCGGGTCACGGTACGCGGAGGTGGCGTGAAATTGTTCGCTTCTCCTGACTGCTTCTCCGTGTTCTGTGCTTTGTTTGCGTACTTGCTAGTCGTGACCTGTCCGACTCTCGCAGACCCGAAGAACGGCCTCGTGAGCTTGAGCCCTAGCAAAGCGGAATACCGAACCATCGCCACGTATCACTGCGCACCGGGGTACGGAGTATCCGGAGCAACTTCGCAAATATCCTGCACCATAAAAGGAACGTGGTCGGCCGCCGTGCCGTCCTGCATACGTAAGCACAGTACTGTTCAGGGTGGCGAATGCTCTCACAACCTAGGCTCGCGCACTGCCCTGCCCATGGCCCTGCCCAGTCCCATTGCCCTGCCCACAGCCCTGCCCAGTTTCTCTGCCACTTCCCACAGCCCAGTTCAATTCCCTGTCCCCGCAGAATAACGCGGGCGAAATCCTAAAATTATGCGGGCGAAAACAGGCCATTATGCGGCAAATATGCGGGATTATGCGGCAAAAATGCGGTATAATGCGGTCAGTAGGGAGGTTCTGCTATACGTGAAACGTAGAGAAATCACGTAGAGAGCAGGTGTCTGGGTTAGAGTCTACGGCTTCGCGTGTTTTGGCTCCAGATTTCTACGCGGAGATGAGGTTCTCTACGTTGTGGCACACGCAGAGAAAATGCGTACGGATTTGCTGGGTATCGATTACTGCCATGCAGAAAATTGCCAAATATGGAAGGGGAAAATCCCAGTACACATTCCACGTGACTTCTCTAGGTGAAACGTAGAGCAGAACAGGATTTCTTTACGTTACGGGAACGCGAAGAAAGTTCGCGTGATTCTTTGCGTCGCGTTCCCAAAACGTAGAGCAGAACCTCCCTAGTATGCACGAGTTCTCTGTCATTTGTACAACTTTAGCATGCAGTTTCATGCAAGTATACAACTTTGTCGTACAAACTCATGAACCAGTCCGACTTTGTAGTACATTTTCAACATCATAATATACCATTTTCTTGTACATTCCCATGAATAACGCGGGTTTTATGCAAAATCTCTCGAAAACGCGGATGACAGCCAATAACGCGGAAAATTGCGGGTCCGCGGTATCCTGTGGGGACAGAGTTCCTCTGCCTCTGGCATACTGCACAGGACCCAAGCTACCACACTCGTGACTCTGTACCTCTGTCCCTGCCCATGACCCAGCCCACAGCCCGGTCCAGTTCCTCTGCCTCTGGCCGCATACTGCACGGGACCCAGGCTACCACACTCTGTACCTCTGCCTGTGACCATGACCCTGCCCAGCTCCTCTGCCTCTGGCATGTTGCAAAGTACAGAAGTCGTCATTGTCAGCATCCCCGCACTGCCACCCCTCGCCTTCTTTCCAATAGACCTTATGAACATTGTACAGATGTACGAAGTTCTGTAGTAGGACCGTACGTGTGCACAGACCCGGTTGGGTGTTCCTTGTGTGCTATGCATGTGCGTTTGACCAATTTTAGCCTCATAATTAGTGGCAAACAATCGCTTTTCCAGCTTCTTCACTTTGGGTAGAACGCTAACCACTAGCTAGGCCTTCGTCAGAAACATGTTTTAGTATGAAATGCGTTCAGGGCTCATTTCTTAGTGGAAATAGCAGAAAACACAATAGGGTCCTGCACATTCACAGGTCTACGGGATTCTACCAGACTCTACGAGATTTCGTGCATCTGTACAACGTGCGTAAGGCTTATTCAAGCGCTCAATGGGTGTTCAGTGGCTGTCGAGTCTGTATGAACGGAACACTGACATCGACATTCTCTGATATGTTTCATGTCAAGAAAATGTTCAATATTTGTACATGGATGCTTGCTAACAGTGCTAAGAGAGTGTATTGTGTGTACCGGTATTATGTGTGTGTGTGTGTGTGTGTGTGTGTGTGTGTGCGTGCGTGTGTGCGTACGTACGTGTGTGCATGTGTGTGTGTGTGTGTGTGTGTGTGTGTGTATGTGCATGTGTGTGCATGTGTGTGCGAGCATGTGTGTGCATGTGTGTGCATGCATGTGCATGCATGTGTGCGTGCATGTGTGTGTGTGCATGTGTGTGTGTGTACATTTGTGCGCATACATGCACGTGCGTGTGTTCGCATGCACTGTTGGCTCGCGTAACATCCCCACGTCGTCAAAAACAACAACAACATCAATCTCACGTGCGTGCAGCAATCACGTGCACCGCGCCAAGCGCACCGACAAACGGCCGGGTCGTGACGTCGAGGCTCAGCTACTTGGGCTCGTCCTGGTTTACCTGCGACTCGGGCTACACTCTCATAGGAATTCGGAAAATAATCTGTAATAAGGCATGGGGATGGTCTGATAGCACGCCATCATGCACAAGTAAGTACACGCGTGGACCAATCAGCATGCTCGCCAGAGTTGAATCCTATGCACAACTTGCAAAGTTTTTTTTTACTGTTCTCTGATGACCGCTTTAATAGTGCGTGAAACTCAGGGTGCGTTTGGTTGGTACGTTCTAGAACAGGATCGTACAGCTGGTGCACATGGAGCAGCCTCATGCGAACCAAACAGTACTCCAGAAACAGAGCACATTTTTGTGGAAAAATGTGCTAAACTTGGTGCATTCTTCAAAATGTGTATGGGTCACCATGGTCACTTTGTACAGTACAACGAGTCCAACCCAAAAGCGTATGCACGTGATCATTTGGGACCAAAATCGATGTTCCTGCCAGGTTTCACTGTGAAAAAGTGAAACTGCTCGGTCTGCTCCGGCCTGGAGGCCGGAGCAAGCAGAACATGTTCTGGCCGACCCAGAACAGGTGCAGTCCCAACCAAACGCGCTGTTCTGGTGAATCCTGTTCTAGTTCGTACCAACCAAACGCGCCCTCAGAGTTAAAACGCCTTTTCCGTCCTCTTATTGTTTGAACTAGCTCTGCCTCTCGGTATTGAGCACTCTCTTGAACAGCCTGGAACCTCTCAGTTTTGATGTAAAATACAAATTGTAACATGGAAAGATGTGGGCACAAGTGATGCGATTGAGTCCACCAACTAAACCAGATTTTCAACAGTCAGATGTACACAATCTAGCATAAAACTGACAATGATCAATGAGACACTCCACGGGAACCCTCCAAGTTGAAAGGCCGTTGGTTAGCGCTATCGACTCGGCGAGCAGTGCTCAAGCTGACTTTCATGCCGTGGAATGTCTCAGTACCCCTGGTCAGTTTTGCGCTGCACTATGCACGTCTGAACGCTCAAAATCTGGTTTAAATGGTGGACTCAATCGCGTAACTTGAGCCCACATTTTCCAAGGTTGTTATTTTTCCTTGGCTCACCACCCAAGTTCATAAATTATAAAGGGCACATTACACAACGGCCAATTCACAATGCCGCTTTTCGCTGCTCGACTTGCGACAGTTGCGACAAGAAGGCCACTTGTTGCAGAAGTTCAACCTTGAACCTTCCAAGTTGGAAGGCTGTTGGTTTGCACACTGGAGATGTGTTAGAGCAAGGTCTCAGGTTGTTGAATGTTTCCGTAGCCTGTCAGTTTTGTGCCCTGTTGTCGCACATTCATTCTGACTGCTTATTATCTTGTTACAGTCGTGGATAGTTGCTTCATAACTCGTTTCCATGTGATTTCTTCTTCTATTTTACATTTAAACTGGCTCATTATCCGAGTTCAACTTTATGTAAGTAGGCGGAAAACCCGCGAATTCACGAGTTTGCACTCCGCTTACGGAAAGATGTCTGCCTGAGAGTACGTACATAGAGCTCTTCTGGCGGGAGATGCTCTGTAAGTGGATTGGGGTATAAATGTACGACCCGCTCCCCAGGTAGTGCCCTTTCGCGTTCGGAGTTTCCGCGGGCAGTTACGTGGTTTGAAAACTCTGTATTGCAGAACCCATATCCGTACGCAGTTGTTGTAACTGGCCTTTTCTCCACCCGCTCCCAGTCCCGTGCCATCTCCACACTTATTCAAAGGGACGACGACAACTACACTTAGAAGACTGTTTATTGACATGACGACGACGAAACACAACTAGACATGACGAACTGAAGACGAAGACTGCTTTTTACACCACAGCAACACGCGCATGCACCAACATGACGTACACACGATGTACACAAAATAACGTACAGTGTTTTCCGGGGTATAAGCCGCACCCCCCTTTTTGAGGCAAAATATTGACTAAAAGTTGGTATTTGGAGTATAAGCCGCACCCACAAACCAAGATGTTTCACACTCATTGACAAATGGCCTTTCTACAAATTTATTATGGAGCTAAATACCATGTTAGATCAGATTATGAAAAATAGAGTTCCCGTATACGCGTACCGTATGGTGTAGCCCGCGCACTAAAACTAGTAAAAGTGCCGGGATAGCAACACAGGCGCGAAGCTGAGTCGAATGACATGTCACATGACGTCAGCATGCACACTGATGTATGCTAAGCATTCATTCGCGCAAGCATATTCGGTGTATAAGCCGCAGGGGCGATTTTGGTCCGATTTTTAGCGAAAAAAAGTGCGGCTTATACGCCGGAAAATACGGTACTACAACACGGTATACATGTACATAAGCGCTAGGCCTTAGGGAGCATCTCATAAGTTCGCATTTTTTTTCTAAACGTAATGCATTTCGAAACGGGGGTAGGGGGGTAACGCCCTTTTCGAATAGAAAAATGACAGTTCGCACATTTTCTGGATTTGTACATACTGTGCATGCAGTGCATGTGCGATCGCTTCAGCAAATGTCGAAATGAGCGTGTTTAGGTGTAGATCTATGTGCCTGCGTTTGGAGATCAGCCTTGCACTGCATGCATACAGGCTACTCAGAGGTGTCAAGTGTCACATCAGCATCATCAAACTGTGTAGACTACCTGGCCACCTTTTACAGTACACAGTGGTTGTGGAGGAACTCTGTTTATGTGTGTCATGACCCGGACTCGACTCGTCGTGAAAGCGACGACGCAATGAGATTCAGCAGCCAAAAGCTGGGCTCCGAAATATTCTAGAGTTCTGTAAGAACCATGATTAGTCCGGCGAAGGATTTGGCACTTTCGTTAGTTGAGCAATCATGGCTTACAACTCGTGGCATCGAGTCACAAGTGTTGTCGTACGGCGGCTACACCTTCAGTACAAGTCGTCAGCATTGTACTCACTACACTGTTGAGCTTGAGGGGACCCTGCTTAGTCCTGCAAGGGAGCTGATACCTTTGTTAGTCGAGCAAGCAAGGCCCCTCTTCTCGCGTCATACGACGTAAAGGGTCCTGCAAGTGCTTCGCGCACTGCGGACTCCGTTATCCCTTTTTTGGGAGAGGTCGCGGCTTGACCGTGAAGCGCCCTACGGGGTAATGAGAGGGAAGAGCCTACGGGGCAGAAGATGAAGGGTGACCCAATCAAGACACCGTGCGAAGGCGGCGCGCTCTAGCTGCAGCAACATCCGACAGCGTACTCCAGGCTCCGTCGCACGATCGAGGTACGAATAACCTCGGAGATCACTCATATTTGTAACACTATCATGTAATGTGGGTGAGCGAGCTCCCCGAAGCTATACTAAATATTTCCTACTAATTATTATATCACAATTATACTATAACCAAAATTACATAAAAGCCGCCTTCTTCCAACGAATAAAAGTATCTTTGATCGCTCCCCTTCAACCTTCGACTACCTTGTGTGAGCCGGAAAACAGGTGTGAGCTAGCAACTTGGGTGGCGACTATATTGGTCGTCTACCTGGGTATCCACTAGACTGATCTAAGCCAAGTCACAAACCCGCCGAAGCGCGGCCATGACATGTGCGTGTACATGCCACTCACTGTTCTTGTTCTGAGTAGATGCAGTAGCAGCAGTACTGTATGCCATTCACGTTGACATTCATGTGCATACCATGGGCATACAAGTCATGTGCATGGACATGCAGACACCTTGCCTGCTGGTGCTGAGCTTGTCACGTATGCAGATGACACGACACTGTATCAGTGCATCTCTGCCACCGCCAGCATATCCGACTCTGCAGCACAACTCCAGGAAGCAGTGGACGCCGTCTCCCACTGGGGTTCCAAGTGGAAGGTCACCTTCGAGCCATCCAAATCTCAGGCCCTCATCATCGACCACCGCACGCCTCCCCCAGCGTTCCCACCAGTGCTCTTCAATGGAGTGACTGTTCCTGAAGAGAAGGAAATTAAACTTCTGGGCATAGCATTCGACTCGCAACTGTCCTACGCAGCACACCTCCGGGCCGTGGCCTCAAAGGCTGCCCAACGCCTACACTTCCTGAGAAAGGTTGCGCCCCTGTTGGACTCCAGCGGCCGCACGGCAGTCTACAAAGGCTTCGTGCGGCCAACAATGGAATACTGCTGCCTGGTGTGGATGGGGTCAGGTACATCCAGACTGGACAAAATCCAGCACAAGGCACTGAAGGTGATTGGCCCAGGCGCCTGGCTCCCCAGCCTGAAACACCGCCGACTGGTTACTGCGCTTTCGTTCACGTTCAAGCTGTCTTACCTTCCAACAACAAGCCCCCTGAAGCCCATCCTCCCACCTCCAGCCAATCTTCGCCCAGTGGGTGGTCGATCCACTAGGTTAGCCACGGAGACTGCCCACTGCCACCCACTCCAGCTCAAGTCGACGCTGCCCGTGCGCATTCGTAGCAGCCTCCAGGGTTCCTACCCAGACTGCATTATTCCCTTGTGGAACAGCCTACAAGCGACCATTCTACCAGCACGGCCGCAACCCAGCCAGCTCCAATCATTCAAAGAAAAATGCAACAAGTATCTGCTGCACCTGAACTGGCAAGCAGCCACCGACGCCTTATGAAACGGTTTAGACCAGTGCCTCACTAGCATCCTCCCCCCCCCCCTTACCACAATGTGACGTTATCTTTCACTCTGCTTCTCTCACGACCATCTACCCATTGTCCTTGTTTCTCACTATTATTCATTTCCCCTCTTCCTCCTCTCTACATGGTTTTACTGCATTATGGCGCGCTTTGTCTGCGTAGACGCCGAGACCTTTGAGGTCGGCAGAGCAGCCTGGCCCCGCCACCACTTCTCGCACATATTCGGGAATATAGTGGACTTTCGTATAAAAAAAAAAAAAAAAAAAAAACACTATTAGGTCCACACGGAAAATGTGTGATAAGACTTTCAAATAGAGGGAGGGGGGGGGGGGTAAAGTCTATTCGAAATGCGTTACGTTTACAAAAAAAATGCGAACTTATGAGATGCTTCCTTACAGTAGATTGACTGCGGGTTTTTTTTTTGCGAACGCAATTGCCGTGTGCTGTGCAGACACTCTCTGCCGATCAAGTAAGATGGATACTGATTTTAACACTGTGTGCACATGTGTATGCGGTTGTGCATTCGTGCTCGTGCGTTCTATTTTCAGTCAATTCATGTCCCGACCCGGGAACGCCGAAAAATGGTGGGCGCGGTGGCGTTCTACACCGTTTTGAGTACAAGACCAACGTTTCCTTCCACTGTGACGTCGGATACTATATGAGCGGCAGCCCTTATCTCGAATGCTATGCCAACAAGACGTGGTCGCATCCTGTGCCAGTTTGCAAGAGTGAGTTGATTGTGGCTGGCTATACAGAATTTGGGTGGATGATTGCGAGAGAGATAGATGGAGAGAGAGAGAGAGAGAGAGAGAGAGAGAGAGAGAGAGAGAGAGAGAGAGAGAGAGAGAGAGAGAGAGAGAGAGAGAGAGAGAGAGAGAGAGAGAGAGAGAGAGAGAGAGAGAGAGAGAGAGAGAGAGAGAGAGAGAGAGAGAGAGAGAGAGAGAGAGAGAGAGAGAGGAGAGACAGACAGAGAGAGAGAGACAGAGACAGAGAGAGCGAGACAGAGAGACAGACAGAGAGACAGACAGAGAGACAGACAGAGAGACACGGAGAGAGACACGGAGAGAGACACGGAGAGAGACACGGAGAGAGACACGGAGAGAGACACGGAGAGAGACACGGAGAGAGACACAGAGAGAGACACAGAGACAGAGACACAGAGAGAGAGAGACAGAGAGACAGAAGCAGAGACAGACAGACAGAGACAGACAGACAGAGACAGAGAGAGAGAACGCAATTGCCGTGTGCTATGCAGACACTCTCTGTCGATCAAGTAAGATGGATACAGTCAACTTCGCTAATAACGACTGCGGATATAACGACAATTCGCGAATAACGACCGAATTTCCATGCCCAGAGCAAAATCCTATCTAACTGTATACATTTAACTTCGGATATAACGACTATCTGAATAACGACAATTCGCGTATAGCGACATGCTTTTAGTGCCCCGAGGTCATATTCACTGCTTGAATAACGACTTTCTGGGCTTTTGACAGCTATTTCAAGTACCTGTCAGTCAAGTACATGTACATGTACCTGTCATGCACCAGAACCTATGGTGATGGATATTATTAATATTATAAAGGCACACATGCAGGCAGGCACAGTGGGATGGTCTAAGACCATGATTGAGAAACAGAGTGAGAACAGAGGGTACCAGGTTCAAGTCCTGCTTGGAAGCGGAAGGAATTTTTCCAGCCGTGCTGCGACCCACAGTTAATTGGGAACTCGTGGCCTGGCACGAGGGTAACATGGATGCAGCTAATGGGATTTCGGTCTTTGACCACTTGATGGTGGGTCTGATCTACTCACCTCCCGCTGTTTAGGCGCTGCATCTGCGCCTTGATCCTAGAGGGTGGTGGCGTTCCCACGGCGGATGCGGAAAACTCGGCTTCCAGCCGAGTCTCACGCGAACCGTGAAATTTATTAATTTATTATGCAAGAAAATGCAGCCAAGGGGGGGGGGCTTTTTCTTCCTTTTTTATGTTGGCTTCAAAATTGTTGGATTTACCAGCACACCTATATGTATATGTATACAATGTACATGTAGTTGTACATGATTGTACAGTAATCATCATACATGTACATGGCTCTGGCCCTGTAGATGGCTCAAAAAGGCATATTTTTCAATTGATTTCCCTTGCATATTGAATTTTTAGTTCCTTTCAACTGCAATATGAAAATAAAGTGCACATTGACATAGAGCAAGAAAAGAGCTTGATTTTGATATGCATGTCATACTATACAAAATATGGGTTCACATACATTCAAATGGGACTTCGGTTATAAGGACACTTTGCGAATAAGGACACTTTTCTGATGCCCCACCGAATGTCGTTATTGGCGAAGTTGACTGTACTGATTTTAACACTGTGTGCACATGTGTATGCGGTTGTGCATTCGTGCCCGTGCGTTCTATTTTCAGTCAATTCATGTCCCGACCCGGGAACGCCGAAAAATGGTGGGCGCGGTGGCGTTCTACACCG